AGTAGATGCTGGCAGCCTTCCCTCACCACCATATTCGGATAGCTGTTCCCACATTGGGCTCAAAAGTGCTGGAAAAGTTCAGCAGGTGTGGAGAGAAACTTTGAGGAAAGGTCACTGGGTCTGAAACGTTAACTCTGATTTCTCTCCACAGATGCTGCCTGACCTGCTGAGCTTTTCCAGCAATTTCTGCTTCTGCTTGTGACAGGACCGTTAACCCTACTTTCCCTCCACAGATGCTTGCCAGTCCCGCTGAATTTCTCCAGCACTTTCTGTTTTTATTTCAGATTTCCAGTTCATTTTAGTATTTCATCAGAACTCATTTCAAATGGGGATGGAACCTTAATATCAATGACCCTTTGACCTGTGTTGTCAGTGACCATTCTACAAGTTTTGAGGAAGGGTCACCAGACCCGAAACGTTAACTCTGTTTTTTCCTTCACAGATGCTGTCAGACCTGCTGAGCTTTTCCAGCAACTTCTGTTTTTGTTCCTGATTTACAGCATCCGCAGTTCTTTCGGTTTTTATTGTAAAAGGACATCTCAGTATTAGCACCCATTTTAAGCAGACAGCCTCAATATTATTGAGCCTTTGCTGCCAGGATAACGTTATTATCAGTGATCCTTTTAAATAGAAAACCTCGTTATGGGCGACCCTTCTGAATTAGGTTATTATTAGTCACCCTTTTAAGGAGGAAACCTTGTCATTAACATCTGTTCAATAAGGAACCTCATTACTTTTTTTCAGTTCACATGAGGAGAATGTCACATTGGTGTCTCATTTAAACAAGGAGAGCTTCATTATTAGGACTTTACACTCCAATCTAAAGAAAGGGGCTGCTGATTATTAGTACATACCTCTCATCTCGAGATAAGGCAAAGGACGTTCCATAATTCTTCTTCTGAAGACTGCCTTGCAATTTAGGCCCCTTTTTAATGACAATGAACCCTCCTTTACCAAAATCATTTTAATAACATTTCTGAATGCATTGATTAGAAAATATCATAGAATTCCCCACAGTATGGGAGCAGGCCATTTGGCCCATCAAGTCCAAACCGACCCTCCGAAGAACATCCCAACCAGATCTACGCCCCCTAACCCATCCCATCCCCGTAACGCTGCATGTCCCTGGGCACTATGGGAAATTTAGCAGGGCCAATCCACCTGGACTGAGGGAGGAAACCGAGCGCGCCCGCAGGAAATCCACATAGACAGTCACCCAAAGCTGGAATCAAATACAGGTCCCTGGTGCTGTGGGGCAGCTGTGCTAACCACTGAGCCACCGTGCCAACCACTGAGCCACCGTGCCACCCTATCATCTTAAATGGTGGGAGCCTACCTTATCTTTTTTCGAAAAGGAGCACAACATCCTTCTTGGACTTGCTTTGAAGAGTGATCAGAATAATTGGATATTAAGATAGAGTTATAGAGTAGAGTCTATCCTTAAGAAAATGTTTAAAGTGACTTGTAGGGAGGGGTGGTGTTATGATAAAAATAACAACCTTATGATGGCACATTCAGATGATTAAACAATGAACAGGCCTCACATGAAAAGGTTACACTCTAGTAGGCCTGGAATTTTATTTAAATGCAAGAGTATAAATATACATTAAAAAAAGTAAAAATTACATCTAAAGTATACATAAACTGATTAAATATGGTGTTCTTTTTAACACAACTCTACATCACTAACTTGAAATTTTTGAAGCTGCAGCGTCCCTGTGATCTTGAAATTTGATCTATCTATGACTTACAGTCCAGTGGATAAGTAAATTCCCTTTAAACACCAATGAAACAAATGAGTTTACCTCAGACAGAGCAAATTTGCAACAAACAGTAAAACGGGAACCAGGAATTTCAGTCTCGTCTGTTTTTCCACATCGTTTGACACTGTGGAATTTAATTGCACAATATAAAAATCTTATCCTATAGAATGGTCGTACATAGAAACAGGAGTAGATCATTCAACCCCCTCAAACCTGTTACCACTCAACATTCATACACTAGAAATCAATGAGCATATTAAATCTGTACGTGGTTATGGGCAACATGATGGTGAGTTTAATTGTGGGCTATTGTCCAAACATGTGAGCATTGTATGCTTCCACCCATCAGCCCACATTCAGTTTGAAGCACATGAATACCTCATGCAGATTACAGAGTCATAGAGCTGTACAGCACGGAAACAGACCCTTTGACCAATGTTAAAAATCTGTGCATTTATGAAAATCAAGCAGCTTTTCTTCAGTTACAAGTGTACGTCGTCATAAATAATTTGTTTTTAAAGAAAAGCAAAACAGTAATTATATTTAACCCGTCCCTGCATACAAACTCCAAACGTTGAGACAGTTCAAAAGTATAACTCGAAACATAAAAGTTTTTTGGAGAAAATGTATTGTGAGTAAAAATACAACCTAATCCTGTACAACATACCTAAATGTAATTATATACATTATTTTACAAATTGTAACTGGGTTCAAAGCTCCATGAAGCAACTGTTAAAGAAAGCAAACAGATTACCAGGGCTGCTTAACACAGTCACTGTGGCCGAACTAAAGCTTTGGGCGCCAGTTCCTGAATGGTGATCATGACAACGTGAGACATTCATCTGACTTTCCTTTTTGTTTTTATCTGTCCAAATAGTAGTCCTCATGTTGGGATAAACAGTTGCTGAGAACCCATCAGCTTGAGTTACAAGATCGAAGTGGACTGTATATTGGCAGTACTTCATCGAGTGACCTCTCACTGTATCACTGGTCCTTTGATGCAATTGTATCTCACTGTGATATTCTGATGAACCACTCCTCACTATAATCTTCTCTGAAAAACTGTACCTCGTTATAAATGCTCCTCTGATATACTGGACTTCACTGTAAAACTGTTTGATATTCCACTGTCATTGCAACATTGTCCAAAATACCATAATCTCTGATATTCATTCCTCAATGCAACACTCTTTCATATACCTCACTATAAAACTGTCTGATATGTCACTATGACACTGAAATACTCCATTATAATACACTGATGTATCCTGCTGTAAAACTGAAATACCATTCCTCTCTCTAACACACTCTGATACACCACTCCTCTCTGTAACACACTCTGATACACCACTCCTCTCTGTA